TGTTTTTGTTCTTGGGTGTGTTCTTCTTGTTGTTGTTGTTGTTGTTGCTGCTGCTGCTGCTGCTGTTGTTGTTGTTGTTGTTTGTTGTTGTTGTTGTAGTAGTTGTTGTTGTTGTTGTTGTTGCGGCGGCGGCGGCGGCGGTGGTGGTGGTGGCTGCAGCGGCGGCGGTGGTGGTGGTTGCTGTTGTTGGTTGTTTCATAGCAACTTAAGGCACCCCCCCCCCCCACCAAAGAACCCCCAGATTGAAACGAAGACCTCGTGAGGCCCGTTTCTCAAGGAGAGTCTGCAGAGAGCTTATTGTAGTTTATTGGCCACTAATAAACCCTATTGTTGGTTGTTGTGGTTGTTGCCGTTGTTGGTCGATGTGGTTGTTGGTTGTTGTGGTTGTTGGTTGTTGTGGTTGTTGATTGTTGCCGTTGTTGGTCGTCGTGGTTGTTGGTTATTGTGGTTGTTGGTTGTTGCTGTTGTTGGTTGCTGTCAGTGGTTGTTGGTTGTTTTGGTTGTTAGTTGTTGTGACTGTTGTGGTTGTGGTTATGGTGATGTGGCTTACACGTGGTGTCTCGGCATGTCTATGCCCGTTTTGTTGGTGGTGGCTGTCGTTTGTGCTGGAGCTTGTCGAGTAGGGCACAGTGATGCGCGCGAGACAAGTTGTTTTGTAGCAGAAGTTAGTCAAGAAATACTTGTAGAGAATCGTCTCTTGGAGACCATTGCCGGATTTGACAGACTGGGTGTGTCCGATGTGCCCGAACTAAATTCCCAGTGGAAAGCAGTCGAGCCCGGCCGAGGGGTGTTCCTCTCTGGGTTGTCGTTCAGATGCTGCCGCTACAAAGGCGAGCGTTCCATGTACTGCTGAAGCCACATGTCTTCAAGAAGTGTAGCCGCAGCCGCACTCCTTGTTTGTTTTCCGCACTTCGGGTTAGTATCCATGCCCAAGACGGGACAATCAGGTGGTGGAAGAGGCAACGACAAAGCAGAAACCTGTGAAGGCACGTCTGGGTCGTCTGCCATACAGGGATGAGAGCAGTCTAGACTGCAATACAGCTCTGTCAGGAAACCCTCTCATTCCACAACCCCACCCTGAATGAGAGCGTCCGACAGTTCCCAGGCGCGGAGACCCTCGGCCAAAACGAACGGCGCTCTCATTGCGCAGGCCAAGGCGCAACCAGGGGATCCTCGGAGACCCAGAATGCTTATGCAATCTGGGCAGGAAGGACGATGCTGCTGATGACGATGACGATGACACTGATGCTGATGCTGATCGTGATTGTGATATGTTTATACTTATGATGACTTCGATGCCGACGACCACCCTGGCGAGAATCATGTCGAAGTCAGATATTTATGATACAATGATTTTGATAACTATGGTGGTGGTGACGATCACAGCAGCGACAGTGTTGATGGTCATCTGTGCTCCTGTCCACAAATCATGCTTCCTCCCGTCGCAACATACGGTGCTACACGAGTTGCGCAGTGGCTCCTCGGTAGCCGTCGGTCGCGATTGAATGGTTCCACCGGCTAAATGTGACTATGCAGATGCACTGTGGTCTACATTCTACATTTTCGATTTCGGCTTGAAACTCGACCAGTGTCAGAACGTCTGGGAATCGAAGGGAGTCATCCTCTGGGCATGACCAGGATGCCCCTGACTTCTTAGCCAAGCTTGGCCTGGACCCGCAGGACAGATAAACGCAGTTGAGGTTGAGGCTTCACAACGGTTTTTTGTCTTGACGGCGTCCAGGTGTGTTTGTAGGTTTGCAAGGATTGTCTTTTGATTTCGGTCCTTTTTCTGGGTTACAAGTATGTATGCATATCAAGGGCGGTCGAATTTGTTGGTTGCAGATCCGGAGGATCTCTGAAGACGACGTCGGGGCCAGGTAGCATCTGGTTCCACATCACCGGTTCCACATTACCGAGGTTTGTTTTTTGTTCCGTTCGGGCTAAGGAAAATCAGACGGCAGTTCGGGCTCTCCGAGATTGGGGGGGGCCCTTTGCTAATTCAAAGCACTTTTCCAGAATCTAGCTTGCCATGGCAGGCCGCCGAAATTCTATACCAAAAGGCGTCCCGTCTACCTCGCCCAATTTGCATCTTCATTGTGTCATTCCATCCAGCTTGATGTTGAGTTCGATCTGCTCCTGTGATTTATGAGGTCCTGCGGTTGGTAATGATTTCTAGATCTTCATGCCGCGTGACCCACGGAAACAGTAACTCGAGGACATTGGTCTGTGCGTGTCGGTCTTTACTACTGGAACCCCTTTGACTTGATTCCTCTTCCATGCACAAGTGCTCGGAAGGAGGTCCTGGCGCAGTGCCCAGAGCTGAAGAAGGCCGTGGGGATGGTTGCAAAATTGGTCATTCTGAGTCATTCTTGTAGCTTTCAATCATCCCGGGCGACTCGAGTATTGGCCATTGTGCGGAACCAATGTGACATGACGAGCTGTGTCTGGGAGAGGTCTTGCAAAGTCAGGTTTCCATCTTGAGCTGCAGGCATGCGGAGAAAGGTTTTCGAGAGAGATCGCTGTTGCACTATCTTCACCGTTGCGAGATGTTTGTGGTCGGTTCGGTGCCCGAGCACAACGCTTGAGTCAGTACAGCATTGCTTTTGGATAGTCCAGATCTGGGTACGATTTGAAAATCCCGCGTCTGCAGTCAGCCCTTTAAGCTGCCTGCATATTCAGCTGTCTGCATGATTCTGCCATTGGCGAAGGTTCCTTTGCCGAATCTTCAGGCTAAGCTTCAATTTCTCCTGCAGGAGCTGTCTCCTCAGCTGGGTTTGCAGGCTGCAGCTCTAGGTGCAGGAACAACTCTGATTCTGATGCGCGAAGTTTGCTGCGTCATGTGCACGATATGGCAGGTAGTGGCAGTGCTTGGGGCGGGCGGTGCTTGTGGTTGCAGATCGAAGGTGGTGATTATGGAGGTGAGTGAAGAGGGTGGCCAAGCGAGGGTAGTGCATGCTAATAGTGGAGGTAGTAGTGACCTTGAGAAAGCTACTGTTGCCAAACCACTTGCCGTCGTACCTACGGCAGCAGCCGTGGAAGAGTGTAATAGATCGGTACAGCATACGTATCCCGATCAACACGAAAAACGATACGACGAAGAGGAATAGGAAGAAGAAGTAGTAGTTGTTCTGGTTGTAGCAGCAGCAGGAGGAGCAGCAGCGTTGCAAGTGCTGCTATGATGATGTGCCCAACATGGAGACTTGCGCAAGGGAGAAACTCACGCGACGTGCCCTCACCCAGAATCGTAATTCGGCATGCCAAAAGCAGGTTCGGAATCGGAGATCTCAGTCAAGGGTTTAGTGTGTCGCTTCCCAAAACTAATTTTACCACTGCTGTCGGACCTAGCAGCTAGCGATGCTCCCACTGTCCTCAAGACGTTGGAATGTGCAGAATGCTGCTCTTTGCATCCTGTATGGTTGAGAATACTTAGCTTCGAGCCGTAGTGGAGAGCTAGCCCCAATCCTTGCCCCAAGATCTGAGGTCATGATCTCAGTGCTCAGACCCTAGCCCTAGACGCCCCTGAGCCCTAAGCCATAGAAACCTGAGCCCCTATGCCTAGACCCCTAAACCCGAAGCCCAAAGCTTAGTTTCGCAGGAGCTACATCCTGCCACCGAATCCTGGGTTCCGCCCTCGGAACCAAACTGTTGAGCATAAGCCAACAGCCCACAGGGCGAATTTTGTGCTTGGGTTGGTTTGGGTTTAGGGTTCAGGAGTTTAGGAGAAGTGAAAGTCCCCTCAAAATCCCTGAGCCGGCTCGGACCTGAAAGCCTAGCGGCTAGCGACTACGGGGTGAGAGGATTTTGTGCGCATGCGTTGTTTTAGGGTTTCGGGTTTAGCTTAGGTTTTGAGGCACCCGGCCACATGTGTGTATGTGTGTTTGTGTGTGTGCGTGTGTGTGTGTGTGTAAGGTTGAAGCTTTGCAGGCACTTGCTAGTGCATGGTTTCGTGCCGGCTTTGAGCGCCGATGGCTCCTGCATTCGGCAGTTTGTTACAACAGGAGGCCCTCATTCAGACGCCAGCCGGACAGTAAAATGCAAAAAGTACTGCATATAGGAGCAACTTGTAAGTGTGCATGTATGTATGCATGCATGGATACATGTTTATGTGTATGTGTATGCATGCATGGATGTATGTATGTGTATATGTGTATATGTATATCTGTGTATGCATGTGTATGTATGTGCATTTGTGTCTAATTATGTATGTGAATGCTTGTGTGTGTACATTGATGCTATGTAAATGGATATGATACGTATATGTAGTTACTAAGTTCATCTTCATGTTTCGTGGACGCTCATGTATACATGTGTCTGCATCTTGCATGTCTGTAAGTTCGGTGGTCATGTGCCTCATACTATAACCTATACAGTGCCGCCAAAACTAGAACTACTGCACGCGACATCAAATGTTTGTCGCAAGTCCAGACAACACCGGGCGAAGTTGATTTTCGTGCCTCGTAGCGATGCTGCAGCAAGCTCGAAACTGTGAGTTTCACTGGCCTTTGGCCGGCGGGAATGACGACTGCCGTTTGTGAGCTCAGAGTGTAGTTGCTATCCGACAAGCAAGACCTGCGAAGCTTTATTTTTGTTGGGCGTCGCTGCGGCTCAGGATCAGGACATGGTCTAGCACTGGTTTAACATAGTGTAACGTCGGATTTTGGGTGTCGTGGGTGTGGGAAGCCCTGTATGACTCGCTTTAGAAGCTAATCACTGGTTGCTGTAGAGGGGCTGTACAACTCTGGTCAAAAGCACTGCAGTGATTCATTTTTGGCCTCTTTTCTAGTAACTTCTAGTGGGATCGTGGTTTCTTGTCTAACCTTGGTCCGAAAATCTAACCTCTAATAATAATAATATGCAGAATGTTTTGAACCAATATCCTGGTCTTCCAGATCTCAATAAGCCGTGGTTGTTGAACCGCAAGAGACCCCTCATGACCCCGAACCCTAAACCTGAGCACGACATTGAAACACTGAAGACTGCTCGAGATGTTGACTCCCGAGGCCCAGGCAATTCAGAAGGACCCATTGCTGATGACAGCATGGCACTAAGTTGATCACGTTTACGCAACTAATTGCACGGCATCGAAGTTTCGCCTGTTCGGGTTTGGGGAATGAATGTTTACAGTCCCTCTGGGAGCATCCATTGTCATCGGATCTCTTCACTTTCACAGAACCCTAGTTTAGACTCAAGTCGACAAGCATGCTGTCGTCAGGTTCTAGAGACTGCTTCGAGCAGTTTCCCTCCGTACCTGCATGTTCACCTTACTTGTCTTATCCACCTATCTGTGAGCATGAATCACCATATTGAGCGCTTTTGCGCTCGGCAGCTCCGAGTGTTTCGTTTCTGTGGCTGTGCGCCTATAGACTCTCGACTCCCAGCCGCTGAGGACATGTACTTATCCCCTAAACCCTGATCCTCTGAATCCCAGGCCGCGGTCCCAAGTCTGGACTCGTTAAGAAGGCCCCGGAAGCTCTCTGAAATCCCAGTCACCCCCAGTCCAAGCCCAACAAGTGCAATCGATCACGCCAGCAAAATCCTCAAAAGCCTAAGTCACCCCGAAGTGGCGCCCCGCTTTGAGGCCGACCTGGAGGACCTGCAGTCCAGCTTGGTCTGGCTTGAGGAATTCCTGTGGAATCAGGACACCTGCTCTTTTGGGGCTTTAGGGGTGGTTTAGCTGCTTAGCTTCTCTCGGTCAGATTTATCATCATTCCCAAAGCTCTATGTACTCTGATCGAAACCACAGCCCTGTCAGGAAATGACCCTCGGCTCCTGAATATAGGTTCTGGTGACTGCCGGCTTCTGTAAGGCTTCCAGACCTTCGATCTGGCCATCGCCACCACATTGCTCAGGACTGGGCTGCAGGCTTCGGCCGGGCGGCGCTGGCAGAGGCCATTCAGAACAAGCCGGGGCCCCAAGGACCACGGCCGTTTGATACTCTGACAGGACTGAACGAGGCTTAAGCTGGAGATGCATGTGTGTGTGTGTCTCTTATCCACCCTTCTACATGTGGGTTGGTTTGGGCTGACAACAGCAGGCTCGGATCCCCACGTCGTGGGCATTTAGGCACATGCCTGACCTAGACCTTTTCCTGATCCTAAATCGTGAGACTGTGTGAGACTCTGACCTTCAAGGCCTAGCCCACCCAGTTTCAAACCCGGGCAAAGGGTGCAGTAACTAAACCCTGCTACGATCTTCGGCCATATAAGGGCAAGTTCAGGGGACCGATGCGTGAATCCGAACCCCTTGAATCCGTCTGCAGTCTGAACAACAAAATCCGGAAAACTACGCTCCCAAACCCGTCAGCCCCTGAGTTCTGCAGCTTCAGCGTTGCTTACTTGCCGACTTATAACCCGTGGAATTGACCTTTCATTGCAGCTCGAATGCTGAGAGCGAATGCTCCACTGTGTTGTTGGCAATGCTAGTTTTGTATTTATTAACTTGTTGTTGTTGTTGTTGTTGGTGGTGGTGGTGGTGGTGTGGTGGTGCCGTGGTGCCGTGGTGGCTGGGCTTTCCGCACGAAAAGTCTTTGCACCGAAAGGCCTTTCCTTCTCTATCAGGGGGCCCTGCTGACATGTTGATGACGGGGATGGGGTCGGTTGCGTTTGTTAGGTGATTGTGATCATCACCTTCGCTGGTTTGGAGTTTGAGGCTTGGTGTGATAGTTCAACCCAACGTTGCTGCAAGAGCCCGAACTGGGTTCGTCTCGTCACATGCATTGCACAAGGTCCTTCTTGCAATCAGCTCCTATGGAAATCGGCGTTTTGAAGGGAGCCACAGCCATAGCCCATGGCCGCCGGCTTGCACTTCCATGCTTGCCCCAAGGGCGGTCGACCTGGTTCGATATGGTGCTATCAGCAGGCCCGACAGAACCCGAGTGCCCACTTTCCCCCAGGAAGCAAACAGCGGAGTTAAACCGTCGAGCCCGAGCAGGCAGCTCCCTTGAGTTCCAAGAGCCTAGCATGCATGCAGCTCTTGCTACTGATGATAGAAATGGTGATGCTGATGATGGTGAGGTGGTTGTGGTGCTGGTGGTGCTGGTGCTGGTTGAAAAGTGACACCATCGCCACAACCACCACTGCCAAGAGTCATCTTTGATCAGCACCAGCATCATCCTCAGCATAACTATCATCGTCCTCGCTTTGGCAGTCATCACTTTTGTGCACAGGCAAACCATGGATGGAATGACTGCGCAGTCGCAGGTAAAACCGTGCACTTGGATTCACCAGCCTCTGCAACCTACCGCTGCGAATTTCTTTGCCAGGAGGATGGGCTAGAAGGGACGATTGCAGCAGGCTTAGCTCAGGCCATGGGAAATTTCGGAGGATAGCGGGTTTGGCGATGCAGAGAGAAGAACAAGATAGAACAACAGCGGCCTAAGCTCTGGATCCCCAGTCCGAAGACTCAACACTCACACTTCGAAAGGGTTCGATGGGGAATTTAGCAGACACGGGTTTAGCGCAGGTCGTTTGTGAGCAGTTCCCGACCAAGCAAGAGCACCCCAAGTTATTTGATCTGCAAAATAACACTTTCCAAATTTCATTGGCTTGGTTTATATCGAAAAGCAGCAACAGCTCGAAGCCCCAACCAGACAGTCGAGTGACACCCCCCTCCCCATTCAAAAAAACAACAGCACTGGACCTGAAGCCATGAAGCCATGAACCCTGTGCCCTAGAGCCGAAGCCATCCGAAGCAGCCACCCCTGTGTTAGACCCATGATGCAGCTATTCCCAGTGCCTGAGGCCTGGTTGGAGAATCACGGGCTGGACGATGAAGCAGTCAGGCCTGGAGCTCTTCAGTTTTGGGTATATAGTATAGAGTATAGGGGTATTGTCAGGGCTACGAAAGGTTTGTTTTACGGTTTAAGAGTGCGTCAAGCTTTGGGCCCAGAGGGTATTCTGGATATCACGGGCCTCCACATATCGAAGCATGCATGTTTCGAGGTTGTCTGGTTGGTGTCTCCGTGCATTTGTGCATGAGTTTCGGTGTGTAGTGGTCTTTGTATCTCTGTATAATATCTTCCGCCCCAAGTTTATTCCCTCCCCAAAAAAGCTCAAGAAGTGTTGTGAATACTGGGTCGTGCTTTAGCACTACTGTCACTTGTGCTTGCTCTTGCTTCTTCTCGTACTCTTGCTCCTGCTACTGCTCCTACTCTTGCACCTGCTCTCCCCAAATCCAGAACGGGCTTCAAAAGGTGGCGATGTTACTGGTTGGAATTTTCGAAAATTTTATAGTATATTGTCATTAAAAGGGTGTGCGGCACGAGTCTATCGGGATCACGCAGATTTTTGAGGACGCAGGGCTCTACTCCTCCATTCGGATAGCTTGTGTGCAGCACTCGTCGAGCAGTACTTGAAGCCTATAGAAGGAGTCGCGAGAGTGTAGAATCTGCGCCACTGTGCCAAGTAGCTTGAGTAATTACATCACGCGGCGAGCTCACTCAACTTTGTTTTAGGCTGCGCCAAATAGAGCCAACCGCACACAGATTCGCTTCGTGCACACACACACGTAAACACACGCACAACACAAACCCCACCCACCCACCCACCCACCCACCCACAAACAAAAACACACACACACACACACCGACCGAGAGACAGACTGACAACATCCAACAGCAGAGACACACGCACAGATGAGTGCGTGATTCAACGCGGTTTGTGTGTTTATTTTATATGTATAAGTATTTACATATACATCATCCAACACTGCAAGGCGTCACAGCCTGAATTGCAAACTGATCCTGCACCCAGAAGTTCGAAACCCTACGGCCTGATGCTGAGGCGCATCGCGGCAGATGCTCGGGCATGAGCCTCGGAGAGGGGAATGACGATATGGGGCGCCGGGGTGTTCGGAAGAGTAGGACCCTCACCTGCCTCGAGCTCTTCGGCGAGGATCCAGCTGTTAAGTATCTTTCCTAGGGTCCTATAAGGAGCCACTTCGCAACTCAACACAGGACCAGTTCTGTTGTCTTCGGACCGGGCTCGTTTATTGAGTCGCCATGTGGTATTTTTGGCCACATTAGTGTTACACTTAGACTAGAACGTTGATGCATGTGTTCGCACAGGACTAGCTGCAAGCTAAGACTGGTGCATCGAGGACTGAAGAGCTCTTGAAGGCAATCCAATTTGCAATCCACTCGCGTGGTCGTTCCGAGTGTCTCTAGATCCCTCCCCTAAACTTGCAGCCCGAAAACCCCCCGAACCCTGAACCTGCTTCAAACCTGAAGCCCTTGAAGCTCCAGCTCATGATTTGTGTTTTTTTTTCTGTTCATGTTTAGAAACAAAGCCTCCGCCATAAAAAGGCATCCTTTGTCATCCGGTCACAAATCATTGGTGAGTAATACCCAGCAGCAGAAGAAGACTACTTTATGATATGCCGAGTAGATTTATTTTTGTTTCTTTGCTTCAGCCGCTTGGATTCTGCACCTACAGAGGCCGGGTTCCAGTGACGTTCTGGGAATTGGATTTTGCAATCACAGCGGGGGTCACCGGTCGACAATTTGGGGGCTGCTACGAGTGTAGGGTTTTCAGTAGAGTCCGGGCTAGAGTCTTAATTAAGACCGAAACGTGCTCAACCCTCTTGCCCTAGTTCCTTAAGCGAGCCCAGGCAGTTCCGTATCCTGTGGAGCCTTTTCCATGGATCGAGCTGCTTCAGCTGGGAAGCGAGCGCAGGGGCCGCAGGGTAGGCAGATGTCGAGTTGAGCGTTTCGTATTCAGGTGTTGTTTGCATTGTTATCTCAGGTACATGCTAGAATCTAGGCTTGAGAGCTTGAGGGCTGAGGTATAGGCAAGCTGGGGTCTTTGGCGAAGAATTCTGAGGTTGCTTGGGGAGCCCCCAGGCTTTGAGGTGATGCTTTCTGCTTTGGGCTTTACCATGCTGAAGAACTGCGGGCGTCGTCAGCGAAGGTCGAATTTCTACTCCCTGCAAGACTTTCCAGCTCTACAAGCTTACAAGTCCTTAACGAAACAAGTTCCTACACACTCCAAAAGCGAAAAGGCCTTCACAGACCTCCAGCCCAAAGCGAAAGCTGCGGGCAAAGCAGCCCCAGGCCTGGAAGCAGGTGCAAACTGGTGCAACAAACGCCTGGGCTGGACCCGGGAGCAGGCTCCTTCCTAGGATCCCAGAGGGAAACAACACATCCAGGGTTTGTAGGACTTTAGGACCTCTTGCTGTCTGAGGCTCCCTTGTGGCTTCACAAGTCAACTCTGGTCTGTTTACGGGCTGCAGCCAAGACCGAAAAAGCTGTTTGGGTACGTGTATGTGTGGATATATATATATACACACATGAATTCCTCTCTCTCACTCTCGCTCTCTCTCTGTCTCTCTCTCACACTCTCTCTCTCTCTCGCTCTCTCTCTCTCTCTCTCTCTCTTTCTCTCTCTCTCTCTCTCTCTTGTCTAGGTAGATCGAGATAGAGATGGATATAGATAGACAGAGACAGAGGCTGAGAGATAGAGATAGATACAGATATGTTACAGATATTATATATGTACACCTGTATATATGTAGATGTCTCTCCGTGCTGTTCGCGAGAATCCGGGCTGCAGCATTTTTCGTGGAGTCGGTACCTCAACAGAAACATCCTCACTGGTTCACAACCCAATGCAACTGTTCTCTATGGTTTGGAACTGGTTAGCGGTGGAATTTTAATGAAAGTGGCGCAATGGAACTTGTGAAATCTTGGAGTTTGATCTTACACCCATGATCACCACCTGAAACCCTGCAACCCGAAGCTGTAAGCATGCAAGTAAACGTGCCGTCAGGTCGACTCTGCAGATCCCTGAGAAACCGAATGCACTGAGCCCTGGAAATAAGCTAGAATGTTTCAGGTTTCCTCCTGAATGATTTCGACCAACGCTTCGAAGCCCAACAACCAGTCGTATGCTTAGTACAGACGCAAAGAGACGCAAACTGGTACATTTGGAGGTGGACATGCAACCACTCGTTTCTGTGTGCGCACGCGGCAACTCCATGTAGGGCTAATCGCAGAACCTCAACAACGAACCAGGCGCTTTCGTTCTTGGAGCTCGGAGTTTGTAGGGAGGGGATGTCATCAGCACTGATACCAGTACTATTTTTGTGCTGATTTCGGGAACGACCATATACGTGGGCGTCTAGCCTTCAGAAGTGCAAAGCACAGTAGCCTCACATCGAATAGTTGAAGATGTACCCTAAAGGAAACTGTACGTAAAGGTTTGACCAGCAGCCGCAAAGCCGATCCTGGATCATGTGCCTAGCTGGCAGCCCCACAATCCGCTGGATGCCAAACAAAGGTGTACGGTGTGGAGACATCTCTTTAGCGGTGCCCCAACTGGAACCCATGCTTTGTTCCGGGGTGAGCAGATTGCGAGAACGACCCGATTTCATGATGCCCTGTGTTCGAAGCCTGTGTGCAGGTCTCGTTTCATTTGAGAAAGGAGCCGCCGCGCCCTCGACATGGCCTTTGTTGCACGCGAGGGTCGGGTTGTGCGAATTGGTGACCCATAATCATGCAATACCGCAATCTAGTATACGACAGCAGACTATTGCTGTCATGATTAGATGACAATATACGATTCTTGAGTCAGGGTTTCCGACCTGTCGACTGTCGAATGCGATGCCCCAAGTTACCAGCTCAGCTCGTAAAGTTCTAGCAAGTCCATGTCTGCTACGACTCCCGGTGTTTGCCAGGCATACTTCGCGTTGTCTTGTCGAATCCCTGGTGATCGTCTGTCCAATTAGTTTCATTATGGCGTGTAGGTTTGACTACAATGCTTATTGTGTTCGCTGTTCGTACGACTCTTGACCTTAACATGCAGTATAGAGTTTGCCAACTTTTGAAGGCAAATCTTGATGATGGGGTGGGTCCCTGCGAGTTCCATCTAGATTTGAGGGTTTGTGGTCGTGTTACTTTGCCTGGCCAAGGGAGCTTAGAGACTACGGCAAATGGGCACAAAAGGTTCTGGTGCATCCGGGCTGTTCCGTTGCAAACATGTTCTTGCACCTAGATTTAGCTGCATGTCAACAGGCTCCGAGAGCGAGCCGGTCAACAGGCTAAGGCGTTTAGGGGGTCGAAGCAGGCCTGCTAGGGGTCTTGAAGCCCCCTCATTTGGTGTTCGGAGTTTAAGGTGAGTCGCTTTTTCGATTGGGCCTATGCCCGTAGGGCGTGAGGTAAGGGGCGGCTACCTGTTACCTGGTGGAAGAGCAGATGTTGCGCACACTTACATGGTGAACCGACTTTGCAGGTGCTCAAAGTTACCCATGGTTACATGATGGGAAGCAGTTTGGTTGAGCCTTTCCGTCTCC